GCTGTATGACCCACGGGTCCGTCCATTCCCACGCTGCTGCTTCCCCTGCCCTCTCCCGTCCCCACCTGCTCCGCGGACGCCTCGCTGGTAGTGGCGGGCGGTGTCCTTATGTCCGGTTGCGGTGGGCGTTGTGCTGTTCTATTGCCGACGTGGAGCGAGACGTTGGTTGAGTTTGTGTGCGCGTGGAAAAAAAGGGTTTTGTAAGGGCGTAGCGGCGGTTGGAGTTGGGCGAGAGGGAGGAGGGATGGTGGGTGCAAAGGTGCTGCCGGCGGGTATTAGTCCTGGTGGAGTTATGTGGCGGGTGGAGAGCAGTTTCCGGGACATGCCGAGTATCGAGTGTCACGTGTAGATGTGTATGCGGTTTTCTGCACCAACCTCACAACCACATTCCCCCTCTTCCCGCCTCCCGGCGCCCACAGGGGGCCCTCTGTCGCACTCACGTTCCTTGCACGTGGAAGTGGTACATACATACATGCATACATACATATTTAAACAGGTAAACCACAACACACGCGGCAACCGAGCTAGCTAGCCGCCATCACGACCGCCACACGGGGGGCCCCGCCACACCCCCAGCTCACCTTGAGCCGACCGACGCCCGACTTTCCCCGCCGCCGCCGCCACCGCCACCCCTTCCTTCTCCCGAGGGGCGCCGCGGCTGCCCGCCTGACGTGGCGTACGTAGGCCGTACTCGGCACCCATCTCCCCGTGGGGGCCGATGACGCCTGCGTGTCAGAGAAAGACATCAAAACACAACATAGACACGATAAACACACATATATACATACCCGCACACACTCTCTGTTGTCGTTACGCATACACGTGCTCAGGCATAAAGCGGGACAAGCATATGCAGGCTGTTAAGGAGGCTGCATGCACGCCGGGGGTGACATGCAGCCCAACCTTCCTAATGGGCGTACGCGCACGCGCATGAGTCTACACTCACATCATCGCGTAGCGGACTTCCCCCGAGGTACAGATCACATGGTTTGCCACCGTAGCGGATCATTCCGCCCTTCGCGCCACGCCGTATACCTCGCAACTGTAGTTCCCAGGTTTCCGTCATCTCCCGTTCAACCACCACCTGCATCCGCATCCGCACCCACACCCACACCCACACCCACACCCGCACCCATACCCACACCCACACCCACACCCGCACCCGCACCCACACCCACACCCACACCCACACCCACACCCACACCCACACCCGCACCCACACCCACACCCATACCCACACCCACACCCACACGCTGTCCCCCTTTCCCCTCTCACCTCCCAATGGGCCCCCGCGAGCTCCGCCCCGACCCACATCCCATACACACACACACACGCTCTCTCTCTCCCACCTGCCACACTCCCTAGCTCCGGAATATCGTCCGCGGGTCCCCCCCGGGTATTCTCCGTACCGCTGTCCGCCACCTCACGATCGTGCCGTGCTACTTTTCATGCAGAAGCACATACAAACATACGCAAATAACTAAAACAAAAAACGCACGTTAAACAACTTGCCAATGTGGCCTCATGGGAGGTGACGGGACTTTGGGAAATAGCTACACGAGAAAACACGTCAACAGCCGAGACAACGGCACGCAACGAGACAGACAGATAGATAGATTAACTGACTCACAGGCAGACAGACAGACAGACCGAACACACCAGGAACAATGACATGGCAATGACAGGGGCGCTGGACTGCAGGTCTCGGTGTGCCAACCGCCAAACTACCATCCAACTACTACCAGCTAACACATAAGCATCCCAGGGAAAAAGAGCGCTGTATGACCCACGGGTCCGTCCATTCCCACGCTGCTGCTTCCCCTGCCCTCTCCCGTCCCCACCTGCTCCGGGGACCCTCGCTGGTAGTGGCGGGCGGTGTCCTTATGTCCGGTTGCGGTGGGCGTTGTGCTGTTCTATTGCCGACGTGGAGCGAGACGTTGGTTGAGTTTGTGTGCGCGTGGAAAAAAAGGGTTTTGTAAGGGCGTAGCGGCGGTTGGAGTTGGGCGAGAGGGAGGAGGGATGGTGGGTGCAAAGGTGCTGCCGGCGGGTATTAGTCCTGGTGGAGTTATGTGGCGGGTGGAGAGCAGTTTCCGGGACATGCCGAGTATCGAGTGTCACGTGTAGATGTGTATGCGGGTTTCTGCACCAACCTCACAACCACATTCCCCCTGTTCCCGCCTCCCGGCGCCCACAGGGGGCCCTCTGTCGCACTCACGTTCCTTGCACGTGGAAGTGGACATACATACATGCATACATACATATTTACACAGCTAAACCATAACACACGCGGCAACCGAGCTAGCTAGCCGCCATCACGACCGCCACACGGGGGGCCCCGCCACACCCCCAGCTCACCTTGAGCCGACCGACGCCCGACTTTCCCCGCCGCCGCCGCCACCGCCACCCCTTCCTTCTCCCGAGGGGCGCCGCGGCTGCCCGCCTGACGTGGCGTACGTAGGCCGTACTCGGCACCCATCTCCCCGTGGGGGCCGATGACGCCTGCGTGTCAGAGAAAGACATCAAAACACAACATAGACACGATAAACACACATATATACATACACGCACACACTCTCTGTTGTCGTTACGCATACACGTGCACAGGCATAAAGCGGGACAAGCATATGCAGGCTGTTAAGGAGGCTGCATGCATGCGGGGGGTGACATGCAGCCCAACCTTCCTAATGGGTGTACGCGCACGCGCATGAGTCTACACTCACATCATCGCGTAGCGAATTTCCCCCGAGGTACATATCACCTGGTTCGCCACCGTAGCGGATCATCCCGCCCTTCGCCCCACGCCGTATACCTCGCGACTGTAGTTCCCAGGTTTCCTTCATCTCCCCTTCAACCACCACCCGCACCCGCACCCGCACCCACACCCACACCCACACCCACACCCGCACCCATACCCACACCCACACCCACACCCGCACCCGCACCCACACCCACACCCACACACACACCCACACC